AATAATAATAATAATAATAGTGGACATTGCAATATCTGGAGACAGCAGAAGAGAAGAAAAAGAACTGGAGAAAATCATAAAATATAAAGACCTGCAAATAGAAGTAGAACAACTATGGCAAAAGAAAGCAATGAAAGTACCAATAGTTATAGGCACCTTGGGTGCAATCCCAAAACATCTGGAGCACCATTTGAACAGCATCGGCATTGACAAAATCACCATCAGTCAATTGCAAAAGGCAGCTTTACTTGGAACAGCTTATATCCTGCGACGATTCCTTTAATAACACCATCAAACAACAACATCTGCCTATCCCAGGTCCTTGGGAAAGACTTGATAGGTGGATAAAAATGCCAAATCCAGTCTAAACATCTGGCTGCCTGTGCAATCAACCATAATAATAATGGTTCTATAATATTTCATAGTCTAACCAAATCACAATTGCTATAGACTTAATAATCAGGAAAACAATTAGAATGCATCTGAAGTAATTGAGCATTCCTAGGTCTTGGAACATAAATAGGATTTCCATGAAGGCAAATACACTTTGAAAATTCTGCCTTTCATTTACTTGAAAATACAATCAGAATTTGCATGGCTAGAGAGAGAGAGAAACAGAAATGTTAGCATTGTTGCTCCAAAAATTTGGAATTCAGCATCAGATAAAAAGGTTTAAAATATGTTTCAAACTGCATCATTTATTAAAATATAAGACAAGGTTTTTCACATGAATAATGTAGAGAATAAGTTCTTCTTTTTTCTTTTTCATTCTCATGAATTAAATAGGTTTATTAGCCATTAATGCATGACAAAAGGTTTATTGGTAATTTCTGTGTTCTCTCTCAGGTGCAAAATTTCCTATAAAGTGGACTGCTCCAGAAGCTGCATTATATGGAAGGTTTACAATAAAATCCGATGTTTGGTCCTTTGGGATATTACTAACAGAATTAGTAACAAAAGGGAGAGTGCCATACCCAGGTAAGAGAAAAATGCAAATTAAAAAAAAAAAAGCAATGTGAAATCAAACATTTTAACTGATAGATCCAAATAAGTGATATGTTCATACTTTGCATGAAAAACTACACACTCTACCATTTCAATCAGGAAATGTTGATTCCTTAAGATGAATTGGATTTGAAACATAGAGCACACATGACATGGGGGTGGTTGTTAGGGATGCCTGTCCCATAAGACATTTGAAAAAAAATCCATTTTCTGAATAAATAACCCCAATTCAAGTAAAAATTATATTGCAACCCTACTCAGATTATATCTCTTCAACATTGTTTTTATTTCCTAGGTATGAATAATCGTGAAGTCTTGGAACAGGTAGAAAGAGGATACAGAATGCCATGTCCTCAGGATTGCCCAATCTCTCTACATGAGCTCATGATCCATTGCTGGAAAAAAGACCCAGAGGAGCGCCCAACTTTTGAATACTTACAGGGTTTCCTGGAAGACTACTTTACAGCAACTGAACCCCAGTACCAGCCAGGTGATAACCTGTAATTTTGGGGGCCTGTGCAAACTACAGCTACCAGGTGTTCCATTTGCAGTTGACGTAGGTTGAATGGCTCAAAGCTGTATCTTAGAGCACCAAATATACTGAAGCCAGAAGATGAGAACTTCTAGAACTATGTGTCCTAAAAATCTGAATGTCTTCTCTGAACAGAAAAGTGAACACTTGGGTTTTTTTCTTAATCAAAGACTTTGAAACTGCATTGTTTTAATGTTATGTAAACTGCAAAATCTTTGTTCACTGTAAATAATAATTCAGTGCCAATAATTTATCTTAGTGCTTTCCTTTTTTAAAAAAATGCAGAATTATGTGATTTTAACTAGTCTTCTCCTGATTCAACTAAAGTATTATTTTCCAGAAGTGGCCTCTTTTTGTCTACATTTTTTCATGTTCTAACAAAATCAGGACCAGTGTTTGGGGGTTTGTTTTGTTTCTTTTATATATAAAATATATGTAAAATATATACATACCTGTATATATAGTCCACAGGTGCTATAGCAAAAGGAAATTCATTTCAGAAAAGGATTTCATAATGCTGAAGCACCCAGAAAAAGATTTCCCTGGGAACATTGAACACTGGTGATGATTCTAAAACCAGTGACTGAATTTTTGGCTTTTGCCCAGCATGACTTTTTAAATTGGATTGCACTTTTTGGTTTCACTATGTACCTGTAGGTTGTTGTAAGTTTTGATCTTTCAAAACTCATGTACAGCATTTCAACAACATTCGCCAAGTGTGTAGTTTGATTTTGGGATCAGAATTAAAACAGACTTTATTAAAGCAAAAATATCCCTGCTTGGACTGGAAGGTTGAAACTGCAAGTGCTTTCATGTATCAAAATATGTATACTGAATTTTCTGATTTTTTTAAAAGTAATAAACATTGCAACCCCATGCAGTAGTCTCAACCTCATAGCCTTTTAGTCATATCAAGATGCGTTTTCATTCATCAAGCTCAGCTAGAATATCTTTTGTGTGTACCATTTTCCATCATTATATAGGTGTTTTAAATGTCCTGTATTGCTAATGAAATTACTTTCAATATGTCTGCAAGTGTTTCAGTAGAATTACTATGCACTTCTTTTCTGGGAAGCAGAAGGGATGCACAAAAGTATTACTTTTTCAGTTGTCTATATCAGCCTTGAATTCTTTCCTTCCTTTTTTCTAACCAAAAAGAAACAAACAAACAAAAAAAAACCCTGTCCTTTCTACTTCTCTTTTTTTTAAATAATGCTATGATCTTAATTACATTTTGTTATTGTTTTATTTGCAAGTTTATGTTTTTTAAATGTTTAACTGTCTTAATTTAGTAATTAAAAAGAGCATTTTACATTTGGATTTTTGTTGGTTTATTTAAATCACAGGCAGATAGAGTTTGTGGTAGAGGAGGAATCTCTTTATTTGGCTGTTGGGCATGGTTATTCCTTGACACTGGTGTGACTTGTCTAGATTTAACTCTAGAAGATGGTTGGACATTAAGATGTTTCCTCTGCTCTTATTCTAGAATTACATCTTTAATGTTTGTCTTTATGTTGCCATTAGATGGACTGGGGAATTGGGTGGAATTCTGTGTAGAAGTGAGTGTGTTTTGCACAATAATTAACCTGGAAACTCCTTCCAAAATAGCTGAACCAAACCAACGATAAAATAAGATCAAGATCAAGAAGTATTCCTAGGAGCAGCCATGCAAAGCAGTGCTTCTTGAGCATTATATCAAGCATCAGTTGGCCTTCCAGAGTATCACTAGGGGTCACTGAATCTTCAAAAATGCAAAGAAAGGTCTCCATTTGACAACACTGCTGTCCATCAGCTTCATTTAAAAAAACAGAACACTTTCATGTATTCTTCCACTATTAGCTTTTTGGCAGAAAGGGAAGATATATGATTTTTTTTCTCTTTGAATTTCTGTGATGTTAGAGTATAGATTACTCTTTTATTGTATATATTCATCATTTATTCCTGCTTAATTCTAATAGAAGAAACTAGGAGATTTTTATTCATACAACTCACATTATTTACTTGCCAGTAATAAGTATTATTAAATCGTTGTCTTCAGAATTTGCCTTTTCATACTCAATTGTAGACAAAGAACTTAAAACAGCTTCATAGATGCCTTTGTCTTGTTGCTAAGAAACTGGTGCCAGGACAAATGTATATATATTGTAGCCTTTATGGAAGAATAGGAATATCCGCTTTAGGTAAATATGCTACCTTACTGCTGTAATTTCTAAATATTGCTTTAAGTAGAGAAGACCAGTGGTTAGTTGTTTCATAATCTGGGGATACAAATCCTCAGTCTCTTAAATTGGAAGAATGGAAAGATTTTCTACTCTAGCCAAACATGTCACCACTTAGTTCTTAGAGATGCATTAAGGGGAGAGATTTAGCATATCTGAAGGTTGACAAATGCTACCAGTCAAAATGCATTGTACATATCTTCTGTTTTCCCCTGCTGAACTCTTTGTTGTTGTTGTTGTTGTTGTTGTTGTTATTGTAAGAAACACATAGGAAGTACTGAAAAAAGCAAAGGAACATCAAATGGAAGGCATCGTCTGGACCACCCATAAAATGTTGTGAGTGACAGAGCAATTGGAAACTGGCTCTTGACATACATATAGTGTTGCATTATTTCACGTAGATCAATATTCCATCTAGCTCTGCTTTCCCTGTAAGATCTTCTGCCTATTAAACCATTTTTAATGGTGACAAAGGTAGCATTTTTCATTCTTTGTCTCCCACTTTCAAAGAAAATGGGACAATCTATTTTGAATCAATTTTCAGCATATAACTACAGCAGTGAGCTGCCATGATTTTTAATGTGATCATAGTATGTATTTTGTTGAAGGTATTGAATACCAGACCACCACTGTGTGTATATATTTAAACTCTGTTTGACATACAGAATGATTATTTTCTTGTTTTATTTATTTGTTAGATATATACCTGCCACTGTCCTCAGACTCAGACCGTATAGCAATCAACAATACAATAATATTATAATAAAACATAATATAAAATTGAAAAAAATCAAGGAACAATAGCAACGATAATAAACCAATGGCATCTTCTCATTCTCCATAAGCTGTGTGAAACAATTCAGGTTTTAGAAGCTGAAAAAAGGTCAGTAATGTGGGAGCCAATCTGATTTCCAGCAGGAGACTGCTGCTTAGAGGGGACATCTATGAGCCTCAGGCTTCTTCACAGAAGTGGAACCCAAAACAAATTGTCTAGGGTTAAGTAAACTGGAGAGTCAAATCCAGCTAAGGAAAATAGTCCTGTGGGGACTTTGATGCCAGATCTTGATTAAGAGAATCCAGAAAGAAACTTTTAACTGCACTTTGTCAATATTCATTGCTTCTTGTAAAGGAATACAGAACTAACCTTGAAGAAGGAATGCAAGAATAGTAAACTTCTACTTACCCTTGGGAAGGAAGAGGGAATGAGAAACTGAAGATAATCCCACCTTGATTTTTTTTTAGAATAAGAGGATGCAGAAGGAAACAGGCTTTCAAGAGTCTGTTGATATACCCCACAACAATAGAGTTCCAGTAGTCCTTATGGGATTTGTTTCCTGACCTGACCTACCTCAAAGAGCTGACATCAGTCTTGAAAGCCTCCTACTTTCTAAAAGAGGCATCAACCCTCGTCTTTGATCATGGAGATGGCAGCCTATCCTTGAGGCACTCCATTGGTTGCAGAAGAACTTGCTGAAGCATTGTTACAATTTCAACAGTGGGTATACAAGTCACAAACCTGCACAATGCCATGGTACAACTAATTCTGCATTTGGGATACAGCTTGCCTCAGCCAGGAACAGCTCAACAAGCCTGTAGCCCAACCAGTATTTCTTCACTCATAGGAGTTTTCTGGAGAAGTTTGAAGGAGCCCAGGAGCCGTTTCTGACTTTCACGACTCATTGTAAATTGTTTAGGACATGTTAGCAAGCATAATTTTTTAGACATCATTCCAGAGTAACTTTTGTTCTGCGTGCTCAAAGAAGGAGCAGCCAAATGGGCTATGCCCCACATTGAGGGCATGGATCCACTGTTGGATAAGTACAAAAACTTCATGCAAAGATTTAGAACTGCATTTGACAACTTGTCTAGGACAGCAAATTGGGAGATTTGCATTCTGAAAAAGGGCAACCACAGAGTTTGAGAGTGTGCATCATATTTGCAGTTATATGCCAGAGATGTGGGATAGAATGATCTTGCTCTGACTGATCAGTTTTGAGAAGGACTTGCTGATAAACTCAGGAATAAATTAGTGAAACAAGGCATACCAGAGAATTTGGATGAACTGTTCTAAGAGTGTGTTAACTGATGGGTAATTGGAGGAGATGAGGCATGGAGGAAATAAGGGAAGGAAGCTTTACAGCCTCTCTTCACCCTTCCCCCCATAGCCTTGGACACCAGTGTTGGACAATCCATGCTAATAGGAGCAATAAGATTCCTATCCACAACTGGAATCAGAAACAGAGGAGGAGAAAGGTTGGTTTGCATTTCTACTGTGGAGCCCCAGGACACCTAGCCAAGGTTTGCCCCATTAAAGTATAGACTTCAGTTGCTAAGTGCCACACCTGTGGAACTGTAGGCCACATAGCAAGTAAGTGCTTGAACTGTTCCAAAGCCTCATCTTTGGAAACGCTTGCAGGCTCCCTCCCAAGAGCTCAGCAGGTTTGCCCTCAGTTAAGAAGAGTTTAGGCAGCTGATGACAGGCAAGTATATTTTATTATCCCTTTTATGCTTTGTACATTCTCACACGTAGAAATACAACTCTCCATTCTTTTAGATTCAAGTTCAGTACCCAGCTTCATAGGTGAGTCCCCAGTGCAAGAATATAAATTGTCCACACAATTATTAGAGAAACCTATGCTTGTGGAAATGAACGGTGGGCAAGTTCTTCAAGCTGAGCCTATTGTGCAATTGGCAGTACAACTGTTAGATTTGGGGAGGAGGGTTGCGTCAAGTGCTCAGAGAATTTTGGCAGCCGAGGTTAAAGCAATTGTCAAAGACTGTTGCCAGGCCAAGACTATTTCTGAAGGTCTGGCCAATTTACCCTAGCTCCTCCCTTCCCTACTGGGCATGTGGGATTCTGTTTCAATGGATTTTATTACTGATCTTTTTCCTGTACAGGATAATACTACCATTTTCATGGTAGACAATTTATTTACCAAGATAGCTTATTTTATTCCTTGCAAGGGCTTTCCATCAGCCCAGGAGACTGCATAACTTTTTCTGTACATTTTTATATACAGGGGCCTAGTCAATCATGCGATCCCAGATTGCAGCTCTAAATTTACATTCAACTTTGGAAAGCCCTATACCACATATTAGACATTCAGAGTCATTTGTGATCCAACCTCTAATGGACCTCTAATGGGAAAACAGAGAGGGTAAACCAATTATTAGAACAGTACTTGAAATGCTAGGTCTATTATCAGCAAGACAACTGGATTGAATTGTTGCTTGCAGGATTTGTGTATAACATCTCAGTACATTCCTCCATAGGCCTGTCTCTCTTTCAGGCAGTCTATGGCTACACACACACATACAACTTGCCCTTCAGAACTCCAGCATCTGAAAGTCCTTGTGCCTCAGAGGTTCTGCAGGAGAGTCAGGCTTCTCTGATCCTTTTAAAGCAGTGTTGTCCAAACTTGGCCACTTTAAGATAAGTGGACTTCAACTCCCAGAATTCCCCA